ATATTCACACATAGCTTCCCCAAATTTAAATAGAAAGTTTTAATATACTTTTTTCATTTTTATTGGGGGGGAAACAAAAGCTTTCACTTTTATCCCATCAGTGAGTTCTCAAATTTTATAAACTATTTGAGCAGGTTTTTTCTTCATTTGGTATATTAATCGTAAGAACCTGAGTGTTATTGGAAACTCTCATTGCAGTTGTTGCCAATGTTCATTTTCAAAATCTAGGATAACATCCTCTTTTTCTTCAGTTCTCAATACACCTTTTTGTCAGATGAAACTTTTCTAACCTGCATGTATGAATGTGAAATTTGGAAAATGCATCACTTGCATGGCTGCAAAATAATGTCTTTTTTAAAAAAGCATTTCACACTATACTCTTTCTTTTATTGGCCTTGGTAGCATATTCTCACTGTTTAAAAGGTATGTTTTCTTTAAGTGTAAGTACAATACTTATTTCAGTGATTGAGTTTTGGCTTTGTTCTTCTTCCTAAAGCTTCTGGTTTTAGTTCTGTTTTGGTTTTCTCTTTCAAAATATTTTTCTGGTTCCTTTTCCTACCAGTTTTGCATAACTATACCATGTTATACTATAATGAATTGAAATGTTGAGAATTTATCATTGCTAATAATACTATGGTAAAGTAACTCTTCTCTGTTCTTCAATTCCCTGCCCCACCCCACTCCCTCATTCCCAATATGGGAATGCCTTGGTAAATACCAACACTTTAGAGTTAACTTGGCATGGTTCAAACTATCCCATGTGAGCAAGGTGCTGTGCATGAAAAACATTTTATAACCTGGATACTTAAGTTACACACAAGTATGTTATCATAGGGACATCAGTAAATATGCCCAAGTTAGTGAAAAAGTACTCACTGGACTGAACTATTCCTATTCATGTTGCCTATTATTTCTCTACCTTAGCTTGGATAATGAAAAGGGGTCAGATTATCAATCATTTTTAAGAATCCTTTATTTTAGTGGCTGAGAAATTACAAAAAAGTATACTACCTGCAGCTTATGGGTGTTTATGTTTTACAGGCTGTAGCACAAGAGAGGACCCCTTTAATACATCTTAGGTTCTGTGTATTGGTTTGGATCCAGACTTAGTCATTCTTAGTCATGATTAATGTAAGTTTCCTTGGTTTCAGTCCATGCATGACTGAACCTGAATCCAACCCATTGCATATTTTGTAAAATCTGACTCCATTTAATACCTAAAATAAGCATCATGTTGGTGATTCCTTGGCTCAGTGGTAAAGCATCTGCATACAGAAGGTTCCAGGTTCAATATTCAGTATCTTCCAGCAGGACTGGGAGAGACCCTTGTCTGAAGCCTGGGAGATCTACTGCCAGCCAGTGTAGTACTGTGCTAGATTGACCAACGGTCTGAGTCTGCATAAGGCAGCTTCCTATGTTCCTAGTTTTCACGAGCATTTAAAATTAATATTTATAGCCAAGTCTTAGTACTACTCTGACAAAAAATTTTTTGTTAAACCACTAAACTAAAGTGTGTGAAATCTGAAGTCTTACAAGCATACTTCCATTGCAGCAATGAAATTCAGCTTCTGGTTCTCCTCCCTTCTGCTCTCCCCCACATGCCTCCCAAATGCTCTGGGTGATCTTCTAACTCTCTGAGGCACATTGGGGGGCTGCTGGGGGGCACTTGAACACACATGGTTGGAGAGAACTCATTAAAATTTCATTTTGTAAGCAAAGAAGTCCAAACCTGATAGTTTGTTGCTGAATGTATATTTTCTAATATAAGAAATTGCTACATTAAGGCTGCAATCCTTAATAAGCCCATGGAACACAATGGAATGTTTGAGTATGTTTGCAAAGAATTGTGATCACAGAAGGATATATATGGCATTTTAAAGGCAGGTATAGGAAAACTAAAATCAAGCAGAAGTAGCCATCTAGTAGATGGCTAGTGATTATTTACTTTCTATGCCTTATTTTCTTTAGGGAATAAATACTGAATTTTGAACATGAAACTTCAAGTCAGTTAAGGCATATATTAATCTGGGACAAATTTGAGCAGCTGCATACGGGCTTAAAGTCATAGTTGAATGTGCTACTTGAAGCATTACTATTTGCTATGAGGTTGTGGTCATTAGTTTGTTAATGCAGAACAATATCATTCAGTCAATACGTCATTTCAAGATAAAATTTGGTCATAGCTCGGTTGTAGAGTGTAGCTTTCACATACCAAAGATTTCTGGTTCAGCTCCTAGCACATGGGTAAGGCAAACGAAGGCCCTGGGGCCAAATCCGGCCTAATCACCTTCTAAATCCAACCTGCAAACGGTCTGGGAATCGGCGTGTTTTTACATGAATAGAATGTGTCCTTTTATTTAAAATGCATCTCTGGGTTATTTGTGGGGCATAAGAATTCATCCATTTCCCCCCAAAAATATAGTCTGGCCCCCCACAAGGTCCGAGAGACAGTGGACTGGCCCCCTGCTGAAAAAGTTTGCTGACCCCTGTCCTAGCATCTCCAGTTAAACTTTTTTTGGTTGCTGTAATTATGCTTCTTCC